TATATATATATATATATATATATATATATATATATATATATATATATATATATATATATATATATATATATATATATATATATATATATATATATATATATATATATGTACTTCAAAATCAAATAATATTCTTCTCAGGAACAAAAAATAATTTGCAGGGAATTTACCGACGACGTCGAAACTAGATAAAGAAATAGCAAGTTATGGAAGTAGGAGAATAATGCTTTAAAAAGAAAAAATATGTCTATTATCAGTGCACACAGCTATACTATTACTTATCTCATTGCCTTCTAAATGGATTTGTTCTTAACTTAATATGCAAGTTTCTTTGTTCTCCAAAGGAAGCTCTATTTTCACATTCACCAATCTGTCCAACAATATCAGACATAAGGAAAGCTTATAATGATTCAGCATACAGTGGAGGAAGTCGAAATATCAGATGCTCCACATTTGCTATAATCTTCATAGCTTTATAATTATGGTTTAAGTTCATGAGATTTTCTACATGAATCCTAAGATGAGAAGGAAGATTATCTATCTATCTATCTATCTATCTATCTATCCTTTCAACTATTCGAGTACAATGCAAGACTTTTTTTGTTTTTTGGAAGATTTATCATATGATACTTTTGGATTATCTCTAGTCAAAGAAATACTAATTTAAGAATTGAGGCCATGCATGATGAACGTTAACAATTGGATTAGCCATTGACCTTTATATCGTATACAACATCTTAACAATCAGCACGTCTCCTGAACGAAAAACAATGACACCATAATTGCAGGCATCAAACCAACTTATTTGACAGCCTGAACGAATAAATAATGGCACTGAATGATCGATCAAGAAGCTGAGCCACCCCAGTGGACAACACAGATGTGAACAGTAAACATGATAAGAACCTTCACAAGCTTCAAGCTTCATCGTGCAAAGTCCGACGATACAAGCATTCATGAAGCCATCTCACAGCAGCCCACTGGAAAATCTAACATGAAAATGGCTTCTGTATTAGTTGCAAGAGAGCTACAATTACTTGGGACCTCCAAATCGGCCATGACTAGAAAACATTTGCAATCCTTTTGATAAAAAAAAAGAAGAAATAATAATAACAATAATAATAATAATCTGAAGAAGCTGCTGCAACTGGTGGTGGTGGTGGAAGATACGGATTGCCTCGTGAATTTGCATAACATCGTTAGCTGGTGCCGGCACCGAACGTAATCATGTAAAAGTGACCTACATATTCTCCTGCACCTTGCTCATTGCATGTAACAACAGGCCTTCTGAAGCAAACCAAAATTAACATTAAAAAAGGAGGAGGCACAAAAGTGACCTTCCTTCCGGTGCCATCTTCAGGCATAGTACATGTACAAACTGTTCATAGCAGCACAGGCTATTGAATTTTCTGTCGGGTGCCATGCTAAATGGAGTAACTTTGTTGTGAAATCAAATGAATTTCCATTGGCATCGACTCCTGGGCTTTCTGCTCCTGTGACAATTCAACACAAGCATGGGACATCATAGAACGAAGAACGCACTTTGAAATCCATCATTTATCAAATAATCCAAAGAACAAAAACCATAGTGCATAAGCACTAACCTCGTCTGACAACACGTGCAAAGCTGCTCAAAGATCTTGCCGGCCTTGAGGGGGTTTGCACTTGTCGCCTATATGATTTCGTTCACAGAAACAGAAAAGGGACGAATCAGCTACACCAACCAAATGGTTCAATCATAAAGCAAAAAAAATGAATCAGCAAATGAATACTCTGTTCCATGAATCCACCGACATAATTAGATCATATTAGTTCCAAAAACAAACTAGAACAAAGGTAGAAAACACATGTGTCGCTCTAGTTCTTGAAAGAACATTGAAGAAACCGACAAATAACTGTGGTGACATCACTATTGAATGTTCAGTCTTAGCAACAATATATGCGTGGTACACCAACTGTGGTGGGCGTAAACTGCCACTTCAGATGTGGCATACCTCGACCATGTTGGATTGGATGCCTCCCAGATGACACTTCAGCTCCTGGCCTTTTGGCTCTTAGCCTCTGGCCTTCGGGCATGAAGAGTTCTGGCTGCTATATCACACACCTTTCACTTGACCTTCTGGGTAACTTGGCGATGAAACTAACATAGACGATATTTCCTTATAGCAACATAGACAAATGACATCCTGAATATATAAGAGTTTCTTAACTTAAACCAATACTGTCTGATGCTAATATACTTGCTTGGCAGTAAAAACTAGAATGTAAAGTTAAAATGTTTTCTAACAGTTTTTGCTCACTTACTCAGTTAACAGTTCGTACACTACAAAGCTTCTAAAAGTACATATCCATGTGCACTACCAGCAATAAAGGACCAAGTTTTACAGTAAGCTAATACCTTGTTGGATTTTTACTGGCCTCCAAAGTTGCTGCTTCGTTGCTTCCAGGAATACAGCCAAAAACACGGAAAAGATTGCTGCAATTACAATAATTATTGAGCATCAATGGATACAAAACTGCAAATAAACAGTGTTAAAACCAAATATTTGAAAAAATATACCCATAAGAACCAGTTGCCACACGTAACCCATCGCCACTTAGGCAGCAATCAAATTTGTCAAAGATCGAATCATTCTCATACAGATCACATAGCTGCAAAGCAATGATAACTACGGTTACCAAGATCCATCCATGTTAATGTACAGAGTACTATTATCTAGACTGGAGGAAGGTCAGCTA